ATATATATATATATATATATATATATATATATTGAATGAGTATTTATATTATTAAGGTGTTCATGTATTATTATTAGAAAAAAAAATTATCTAATTACCCGAAATTATCAAACTCAAAGTTACCTAAAATTGTTTAACACAGCGTGTACGGGAGTGGTGTTAGCAAAACTGATTTTGAATAAAGTTAATTTTGACGGAAATTGATTTATGTTAGGTATTTGGATACATATTTTTATTCTAAAATTAATAAGATAATTAATAATAAAACTCAAAATACTTTTTTATCCAACGTAAAATCCACTTAAAATTATTTCAACTTAAAAAGAACTTTGTACTCATAATCAATTTCTCAACGTAAGGCCAGACATGTAATATTTGCTTAAAATCATATTAATTATATTTTAGCATAATTTTAGATGATCCCATGTAAATTCAAACACACAACAAACTTTAGATCCAAAATCAATTCCTGATCAATTAAACATTTGTAACGTTAACAGATATTTCAGATCATCCACCAAATTTAAACATGGCACAAGGTAAATTTTGTTTGTCCATTGAATCGCAAAGTATAACGTGAATAATTAGTGTATTACAGTGTATTTTTGTGTGTGATTGAAAACAAAAACAAAAACTTGGATGAACATATCAATCCCTTTTATCTCTCTTGTCCACAAATTTTCTTTAAGGCAAATTCCTATGAGGTTGCTCATTGAAAGGTTTCAATGGAAACAACAGCACATAGCACCCCATCACATGCTAAAATAACCATAAATATTGACAAAATTTGTAGAAAGAGTCTTCCATCTCCCTACTGCAGATTGGCATGGTGATAGCCCTTAATTAGTTCCAAGAACCCAAGCTGAAAGAATGATTTTCCTCATCATAGCCATAGTAATTTAGTTGTTTCTCATACACCACAACCCAGTCCTCTAGCTTCTGACCCTTTCATGATCCTTAGCCTTTTGCAGGAAGTCATAAACATGCTGGAGGAAAAAATAAAAATAAAAAGTAAGTTCTGTGTAGCTAGGAGATAAAGTAGACACGTGAACAAAACACAGAGAAAGAAAGAGAGAGAGAGAGAACTTACTCCCATGGAACATCTCCAACTAGCATCCAATCACCATCCTTGTCTTCATATGTAGGTGCATATTCAGATCCCTTATAACCCTCTCTTTCAGAGTATTCCCCTGAAACAATAAAACCCAGTTCAGGTTTAGCTAAATTACAAACTTGTTTCATTCACCACATCAGAAAAGACAATAGAGGTAGAGAAAAGAAAATGAAATGAAATTTGGTCTCTCAAGTCAAGTCTCACCTATGGTCAACTTGAACATGGTCTCTAAAGCTTTGAGTAGTTGAGGATAGCCCCTATAGAGTTTCAAGTCAATCTTTCTGAGGTAAGGTGCTCCATCCATGCTCACTTTCACATAGATCCCATCCCCCTCACCCTCCTGCAGGCTGTTCTTCCTGTAAGATCTGATTGGTGGCCAACCCACTATCTTTGCCCTGCCATCCCATTCAATCCATTTAGCTCAAAACTCACATCCAAATTAACTAACAACATAATTCATGTCCTAAAACAAAAATACTACAAATTTCTTATAGATTTTTCTTTTCTATTTGGAAAATATCAAACAAAACATGAATATAGTACATATTTCATAAGATAATGTTTTTCAGACACCTAAATAAATAGAACACCCTTAATTTGTGTTCATTTATCTCCACATGTCATTCACATTCACTTGTGAATTCTCTGCTTCTGTTTCTCTTGGTATAAATTTATTGAGTGTCCAATTGTTTTCTTCAATTTAATACCAATACTAGAAAGAAAATAGAAAGATGAAAAGCTGGAAAAGGATTTAGAATGATTATGATTGTTGAAAACTATAGAAAACTTACTTGGCAGGAGGGGCTGCATGATGAGTCTCCACATCTGAGGGTTTGGAAATGGAAACAGAGTCTTCTGAAGTTTCACGAAGTTGCCTTTTGTTGTTTCTAACAGAATGAAGAGTTTTGGCGTCCTCCTTTTCCTCGGTGCCTGGCAAGCCCAATCTAAGTTCTGTTGCCTTAAGGTTCAAATGACTCTCATATGTCACTCTGCTTTCCATCTTAAAACCGCAACAGTTTGTGTGGTGAGATGTTATGTTATTGTTAATGTGGGAGAGTTGGAATTGCAAGGTTGTTTTATAGGAAAGTAGAAATAAAGGAGGTGGCAGTGGCAGACATGTGTTTTAAAATTGAAGGGACAAAGACGTGTCGGTAGCCACTAGCAGCAACAGCGGCTTTAAAGCAAAATGTTCCCCGAGCTGGGGGACAAGGGTGGGACCCACCCTTTGGTCTCGCTTTGGACGGCCCAGATGGAGCCTTGATGTTAAGGAGGCAGTGCCATGTGATTGTGAATGGAGGGTCCCTTCTGATGGTTGGTCAGGCTAAGAATTGGTCGTGTGGGACTGCTCCAACTCAAAATCCCGTGTGCCGCATGTCTAAAATAATATTAAATTATTTTACTCTACATCTTAAATTTTAATAATTTATTTCTTAAATTAAACATTTTTAATGTATAGATTAAATATATTTTTTAAAATTTTTAAATTTTATTTAATATTTTATTTCATTA